GCTGATTGGTCCGGCAAGCGCGTAGCTTCCACCACAATGTCAGCTTAGGGGTGAAGGGAATAAGTGAGGTACGGTTGCGTGTGACGTCAGTTTGGACCCGATGACACGCTTTTGGGACCGCGGATGTATCACAGTGAAAAGGCAGAGAGGTTGCGAAGGGGAGGAGGTACGAAATAGTCCGCTCTGTTTTCAAATTTTCGCACTGAAAGTCAGGCTTTTGACTTTCTACCTTTTTTCTTTTGGTCCACTGAACGATGTGCTATTAGTTAAATCCCAATCTAAAATGATTTATCCAAACCCAAAAATCGTTTCATGGGCCCTTTAAGCAACTGAGGCGATTGAGCCATGCGGCGTGACAAAGTTCTAGGAGAAACTCGATCAAATAGGATACATCAATTTAGACAAAAACACTACGAAGACCGGAGAAGAAAGGATTTGTTAGCGAGACAAATGTAAGGAGGCCGAATAATATGGAGGCTTTCTGATTCCTGACGAACGTGATCAAAATGCCTTGTTATTTTAATTGTTATTTTATTGACTCACTCTCGAAACTGCACAGTTCTTGAGAATGGTCTGACGCGACGGGATTTTGAACATTTAGTTGGAGTAATTAAACTCTAATAGGGAAATGGTGGTTGGGATGGCTTAGCGACTTTACTCTCAATGACTCGGTGTTTTACGGGATACCGCCAAACAAACATAACTGTTCGATTCTTTATGGTCTTGTAGTGGATGCGTGAAACCAATAGAAAACAACAAAACAAATTAGTCGTTAGTTGTTTATACAGCAGGAGTTTAGTCTGCCAGAACATGGCGACATTGTTACCCACTGTAGATGAGCAATTTAGCCAGTGCGGTACAACCGCTAGCCTGGGGTGTTTAACGTGCACCACGCAGTAGTGATACACGACCGCACGCCGGTACGATGCTCATCCAGATCGAAACGGGCAGGGGTGGGGCTCGAACCCAGGATCCCTGGGTTCTGCAGCGCGAGCTTTCGCTCCACGCGCGTCGAGGAATAGAAAACAAAAATGCGAGCTCTAATGTTTTCCAGCGCAGTGCTCAGGCAAATTGCATGGAACAACATTAAACTTATTTATTGAACAGATTCACGTTTATCTAATGAGATGAAGAAGATCCCCCTGCATTTAGAGAGGAAAGTAGTATACAGACATAATTATTTGCAGAAGTTATCAAATTAAGGGTCCTTCACAGCACGAACATTGCCTTCCATTGTCGTGCTCCCTGCGCGTAGCGGTCTACCACCTTTTCTTGGTCGACGTTGATATCTCGTTAAACGTTGAGGAGGGAAAGACTGTTGAGTCGCTTTTTGCGTCACGCGCGATCTAATCCAAGTCTTAATCCGATGAAGAGTCGAGAAGGACCGCTCAGGCCATCGCAACACTAGCTGGCAGTGTAGCGAGAACGCGCAGCAGCCTCCTGATGTCTGGATACAGCTCTGGCTCCGACTCTTGAAGTGTCTCCACAGCCGTCGATGGAAGAGGCCCCTTCTCTTATTCTCGTCTCCATTTCGCCACCCACAGTGAAAATTCGGCTCTGAGGATAGTTTGCAACACTAATCTCTATTGTAGTAGGCTGGATCGCGGATCGCGAGCCTGCCGGTGGCACCACCGGCGGCCATTGCTTGACACCAGGCAATACACGCAAGTCTATGGGAGAAACACAGAAATGTAGGAATATTGAAGCTTGCATGGAGTGCTCGAAGGCGAGTATATTATGATGTGGGATGCGATCATTATATCGGGTGTTTGGAGGTCGAATCGGTATTTGTCAAGCGTTCGAATGCCAATTAAAAAAATCAAACGTGACGGAGCACCCACGGCTGAGCTGGCAAACTTGCTCTCGTAGTGAAGTTAACAAAGGAACTTGCCGTCAATAAGACCATCCTCGGGGAAGCCAGAAGTTGATGAATGTCGAAAAAGTTCCATGTTTACTGCGGCTTTCCGGAGGTGAGCGAATTCCGCTTAGCAAAGCCCTCAAGCTTGTCGTCTGCTAAACCCAACTTGTCGAAACCGCCGCCGACTCCGCGGTAACTCTAGGTAACTCTCGTCTCATTGAGCTGCGCTACATTTCTCGCCCAGCGGAGTCCCCTGTGAGGGCTGTCAATTTTAATATTTGTACGCATGCTATTTGACAGGCTTCCCGAAAAGCAGCCAGAAAGTTTCAATGCCGTCAACAGCTTAAAAACGGGGGAAACGGCACTTTTTCTGGTTTTTCCCATAGAGTCCCATGCATTTGGTGGTGTTAATCAATGGCCACCGGTGGCGACACTCGGCCCCAGCTGCCGAGGCCGCGGTCCGCAATCCAGCCTACTACGATTGAGATCAGTGGTTTGCAATTTTACATCTCCCATTCCGAGGAGCACGTCGCATTTTGCTGCCAGGTTACTGAGCTTTGCTTGAGCTTCCTCGCCATGCACGTGGCGAGGCAGAAGTGTGTTGAGGCAGCACATCTCCAGCACCTTTTCCGGCAAGCGCTGCTTGAGGTCTTCCACGACGGATTCCACAACAGGAATGTAGACATGTGCACGGAAGTATGACTCGGCTTTCTGGGGAGGCAATTTCGCGCAGTTCATCTGTCGTTGCGCTAGACGAGGCGGATCTAGTTGGGCTCCCGTGTTCTCGGCAATGTCTTCAGCTTTCGCGAAAATTTCTTCGAAAGTTTTTTCTACGTTCAACGGGTTCCGCTTTTCGCTCAGGACGACGATCGTGTCTTTCACGATGTCCGAGGCACTGTTCATTTCGAGATCCGGCTTTTGGAGCAGCCGACTCAGGGGAAGCATTGTTGAGAGAACGTCGTAGAGAGCTAGGGTTCCGATGACGAATTCGGCATTCAGGACTGGGGTAAACAGGGATTTCGCCTGGCAGCGGAGCTTTGTTTTCGCCACTGGGAAACCGTTTCTAACGTCTTTGCGATGGTTCTCTGGCTCTCTCTGAACTGCAAAACAGCGTCGTGACGTTCGACCCAACGTGTGTTTGGTCGAAAGCCAAGCTGCCACCTTACGTTCTTAACTTCGAAGAAGCACAGCTTTCCCTTCGTCGGTACATTTCGCGTCAGGTGAACTTGTTCACTCATCTCTCTCCTTTTTCTTTTTTGGACTGAAATATCAAAGACGAACAATTGGCCGAATCCACTGTCCTGCTTCGGCTGCACAAATCTAGTTTGTTGACCGAATAATCACCACCTGACCAAGAACGAGGCATTCTTTTGGAATTTTTTTTTATCCCACTTATGCGCTTCAGATAAAGGGGAAGGGGGGGGGGGGGCAGCCCCCCCCCCCCCCCCTAAATCTGTCCCTGTTTCTGAGCATGCGCAGTAGCTCTCTTCTACTGAATAATAATATTATTATTTGTATTGATTTGCACATGCACTTTCTAGTATCCACTCGGCAGTGTGGATATCAAACGCTGCGCATCGGTCCCAGTGACTCAGCATCTTCGCTTGGGTGTGATAAGCGCTGGATATGTGTATAGAAGTGCATCCGCCCTGATATGACACCGGCCACATAAATGCCGATTTCTTGCCGACACCGAAAATAGACCGAAATGACGAATTGCAATAGAAAAAATAAACCCCGAAAAAAAAACAAAAAAAAAACGACCTTCAGGAACACAATTAAACCCCGAAGACGAGGAATCCTAAGCGTGCTATCAATTACCAGACTTTTGTGGCTCACACTTTCTTGGAGCCTGTGGCGCCATCTGGGCAGAGTTAAATCAGTTACTGCGACGTTCGCCTCTCGTTTCCCTGTCGGCGTCGTGGCCCCCCGTGGGTTTCCTGTTCATACTGCAGTCACCACCGCGCGTTCCAAATTGGGTAATCAGTTATCTATTCTCAAATGCTTCCATCATTTTTTTTTTTTTTTTTGGTTCTGGGGGGAGGGGGAGGGGGAGGGGGAGGGGGAGGGGGGGATTAAATAGAGTCTAGCTGTGCCGTGAAATTTGCAAAAAAGAATTCGTACTCGGCGCTACGGGGGCTACGGAGGAGAAATGTCACATGGCTTCAAACCTGTACTAAGCAGGTGCGCAAGCTGTGCAATCGCAGCCTGCACGCTTGATTTCTTTTTGAAGTCGTGTACAAGGGTGGCTTTTTTCGCCCCGTAGAGCTCACTGCGATTTTTTTTACATGCAGTGGTATTTATAATTCGTGAGTGAGTAAAGGGGGGGGGGGGGGGAGGGAGAGAGAGAGAGAGAGAGTTATTTCTTTCTCTAACTTGGGAGGAAAGTGTGGAACCTTTTTTTTGCTGATAAAGCTGTATTTCTCCCTCTTCTGCCCCCCGATAGGTGCCTTCTCCTTTGATTCGCGTGCACTGTGGGAAAGCAGCAAAGCGGGGGAACTTGCTCGCGTTTGTTTGCTCGAACCTGCCGATCGCTCGAGCTTGTAAATCGAGTTTTTAATTTCTGACCGCTATTAGTTGTAGTGGTTTATTTTCTCTTGGGATAAAATCGTTATTTATCGAGATGTATTTTCATGAGTGTGTCTCAAGAACAAATTTCATATAAAGTTTCCAAGGAAGAAAACAAAATCGCATGAGCGGATCCGTGTTTGCCTTTATACAACTAACTTTATTCAATATATAAGCTCTGAATTAGGTTAAATACAATGCAGATAATTTGGGGCTTCGAAAATACTGTCAAAAAGTGAGAAATTTGGTAATGGTGAAATATAGTTGGCAAACCTAAAATAATATTACCCAAAGAAATATCAAGACTGCACACATTTATTCAATAAAATAATAATTAATACAAGGATTAATAGGTAAAATAGATAAGCATTGCTTCAATAAGATCAGTGTAAATTTAAGAGAAGCTACTGACCTTAAGTCCTTAGAAACCTTTAATAACACATTTGTGAGTAGCGTGTGAAGCTTGAGTAATAACATTGAGAGTGAAAATGATAGCAATGCCCAAAGGAAAACTAACATTGATGACTCTTCTTGGAGGTTGAGATTTGTTAATGATTGCATCTTTACTTGGCAGGTGTACCAACTTCCAAAACGTGAAACGGGGGGAGGTGTGCAAAGTGCCTGGATCCACGGTGACACCAGCACCTCCTGGAAGCCCCACACCCATTCGCCTGCCCCACGCCAAGCCAGATGTCTTTCAGAGTGTCCTGCTCTATGTTTACATGGGAAAGGTACGTCGTGAGCAGAAAAAGAACTCCCAGCCACAAAGTGCACCTTAGAAAGGTTAATTGAGCTAGGTGGGTGAAGGTGGTAACTTTTTTTTGCTCGCAGATACACTTACAAGACAGCACCGTATTCGAAGCTCTCGCCCTTTCCCACGAGCTTGGCATCGAAGAACTACGACAAAACTGCGAGGACCATGTGACAAGCACGTTGTCGGTTCATAATGCATGCACATTCCTGGCATCGGCCCTTGCTATGGAGGACAGGGTCTCCAGCTCAGGCAAGTGTCATTGTGCTTCGACCTAGCTTGAAGATCTAAATCAAGACACTGAAGCAGCACGCCTATTCTTGCTGACATCTTCTTTTGCGTGTTTGATAGACTCTTTATCTCAGTGATTGAAGGTACTCTTGTTGGTGCATTTTTAGGTACCAAAGGTGGGAAATCGTTTGTTGACCGGTGTACGGCATATGTGGGAGAAAATGCCGTGGAGTGTGTGAAAACCAGTGCCTTCTTCAACCTGCCGAAGGATGCCCTTATTCATTTGGTTTCATCCGACTATGTACGTTCACTTGGATCCTATTTTTAAGATTGACCTTGTTTCACATAAACTTGTTTTTTTTTAGACAATGATAGGTGCCATTGGTGTTTAAACCTACCTACCTATAAATAAGTAACCTGTTCTTTTTTCTTTTTTTTGTTTTAAATTTCTTTACAAGTTTTGGTGCATCCTTCATGTTCTACAATGAAAGAGCTAAGCGAACATGTGGAGATGTTCTTGAGGTAGAACTCGTAAAGGAGCATGGCCAGTCAGTTTCACCAGATTGTTAACCTCTACTAAATAGTCAACACATTCGACTTATTAAGCATCTTGAATCTCTGTCTGTCACTTCCAGTTAGTGCTCAGAACGGTGCACCGGAACGCATAACACGAGGTGCCTCATTGTTTTTCTTATTAAAGGGGCCAGGCCACGAAAATTTCACGAGTAGATTAATCTTTCCCGTGTTTTGGCCCTTTTAACCCCCTAACTGACCTGGACGAGCCTAGCTCGTCAACATGGAGCCGTCCCCAAACCGTTCGGGATGAGTATAACTCGTCTGCTTTCTCTAGTTCAAGCACTCCACCGTTTGGTACGAACCAGGCTCGCTTATGGCTTAGTGGCGGCTCTGCCAACAGATGGCAGCTCTGCTTTTTTTTTTTTTTTTCTTCCCTTCTGTTTGTGGCTAGAAACTTTAATTTGAAGGCAACAAATGTAATTTTGAAGACAATAATTAAGTGTTTGAGGGTCAGATTTTTCTCAAAACTAAAGACGGCTACACCAAGACGGACGCGTGTTGTGGTTGTGTGTTGTCGGTGCCGACAACACACAACCACAAAAGCAAATTACTACAAGCAAGCAGCGTGATCCGAAATGGCAGCTTTGCACATTTTAACTCTACAAAACATGACACAGTTGTTTTCTTGCCATGTGATTGCCAGTTAATTTAGTTATTTTGTCACCTCTAAAAGGATCATACCTAAGCACTGTGTAGTGAAATATTCTGATGTGGGGGTACTAACTGGGGAGGTAAATTTTATTTTACACTAAACTATATTATCGAAATGCGAATAAATAATCAATGTCATGGTGGAAACGTTCTGTTACAATCCAAAATGCTTTAAATGAGTGGAGTGAATGGCCTTTACTTTTTCACCAACAATGAAGCTTGCAATGGAAGAGGAAGATGTCTGGCGTGCTGTTCTGTCCTGGGCAAAGCATCATGCTGGCGTAACCCAGCCAACTGCCCATTGGACAGAAGAGGAAAGAGCCAGAATTTGTCAGGTATGCGGTGAAGCACAGACAGTAACAAATATTTCTGACTTACGGTTTTTTGTAGTTGTTTTGATTCATGTTCAGCTTTATGTGAATTTATTTTTAGTTTCTAGAGCCGAAGTTTGTATTGATCAGGAATTATATCTGCTATTTGTTTCGTCACGCACCAGAAATTGTTGCATCGAAGACTTAAAAATTGGAACATTTACATACTTCCTGGCATACCGCAAAATATTGGGCAAGCGCCCACTCAAAATTTGAAGATAATTGCGAAAAAATGGGGGATGGGCACTTGTCCGGTCATCAGTTTTACATATAAATGTACTGTGCATATTTTCTCAGGTCCTAAAAATTTGGACATGGGTGCTCAGTGTGGAATAGACGGATGCGCAGTATTCTGCGGTAGTCTGATGCAATGGATCTTTTTCGAGTAACGAGCAACGTCTGGGGAGTTGTCTGCTAACTACACATGAAGAGCAGCCCAACATGCCTCCGCCCGTCAAAACGCATTGGCATTGTGTTGTTTTTATTGGTTTTTAGTGCTTTTTATATCCTATACTACCGATACTAAAAAAAGAAACATCACAATAGACTAAATATGCGCAAAAATAGATGCCAACAATGTTACTGTCGCCATTTTCACTGGGCACCGTCCGGTGCCCTGCGAAGATGGCGACAGCGGGAGAGTACACATGCACAGAAGCTTACTGGAAAAAGGTCCATTATAGTATGTCCAAATCTTTACCTCACTCTAGAATAGAGAGCAGCCACCGTCCAGTAATGACGAGGTAATTTTGACAAAATTGGCTGGTGGAACTTTTTCAGGTTACATTTATCTATACCTCATGTACCCCTACCAGATTCTGGAATTTACAAAAATTAAAGTTCGACACTTGCCCATGTGAAGGCATTGGCTCGGCATTTTATGGTAACTGTGGTACCGGACACGATCCTGGGGAACCTATCCCGTAACAGCTCCGCTGTAAAAGGTTGTGTTGCGATCTTTAAACACGCTTTTAACGAGAAAATAAGCTGCGCACGATTGTGATTTCGGGTTTTTTGGGATGCTTAGAGTATCTAGATTGAGTTGTCACCACAAAAGGACGATCTCAGAATCGACTTCAGTGCCCCTTTAGCATGAAGCAGCACACAATATATTCTGTGTTAGCACTGTCCTTGCCACAGTGGTGCAGGAAAGTACGACATTTTAACCCGCACGCAAGTAAACTCGTCCGTGTCCGTTGTGAGCGTCGCGTAATTAGCCAGCAGCCGGACACCTGTACTGCCTACCATCTTGGTGTCTTCGCACCCGTTGCGTGTCAACCCTCTCCAAGTCGCTGTACTTGACGCTCAGTTGCCCCTCGGCTCAATCTGTGCATCGTCCTGTAGTGTGTGCATGTGTTTCATGGCAGAACAAAAGAAGCGGCAGCAAAGGAGGACGTGGGGACGCTTTGAAGAGACATGGTGGCATGTGCCAAGAATGTTGATATTACTATTAGACATCAGCATTCACTGTGTTCTTTATAAAACACAATACTGCACATGACGGCTTGATCGATAGATAGAAATACAGCTACAAATTTTTTATGGTCTCTTTTAAATTCTGTGCAACTTGAATTGTGTGTTATATATATATATTTTTTTTTATTTTTTTTATTTTCAGCAACTGCTGGGTGTCATCAATCACGTTCGCCTTCTGCTAATTGACAGTCAAGTTTTCGCAGAAGAGGTCGAACCTACGGGTGCAGTGCCCATGGAGTTGACCTTGGAGAGGTGTGGCAGTGTTCCTTCTTTCTTTACTAGCTGTTTGTAGTATAAGCAAATGCAATGGAGAGACTCTTAAACCCTCACCCAGTCTCTGGAAATGTATTTTGGGTGTTTCTCAAAACGCGAGCCAAATTGTTTTTGTGAAATTTTGCATCGCACAGAAAAAAAGTTAATGTCGTATTGGTCTCTGTCCAAGGGACTATTTCTGAAAATTAATAATGTTTGGTGAAATCAGTTTATTCATTACTTTCACCTTCTAATTAGTAAATTTATAGGTATGGTTTCAAATAGAAACTATCTGGGCATCATCAAAAAATGCTAAATCATCTCAGGTTAGAAACGTAAAAGGTGTGTCCAAAATTGTAGTGTTCCAAAACGACACACAATTTGGACGCATTTCTAGGTTTTGTTTTTCTATCAGAGCGCATCCTTGCATCAGCGGTCTGGCCCTCCCATGGCCAAGGCACATAACTAAAGTGCACTGCTACCCATTCTTCACATTTATTTACTAATGCGAAAGCATTAACTGTCCCACGGAGCGGAGCCGGCGGCGTCTGTAGCCCTGAAAAACGGCACTAAATTGGCTGCGACGTGTCACATCAGATGCTTTGTCATGGAAGCCGGCGTGGCCACTTGAGTTCAAAGCTGATACACCTCGGAAATAAAATACAAAGAAAAGCACAGCAACGCAGATGCCTCGTCACGGAAGCCAGCGGGTGCGCTCAAAGTCAAAGTGATACGCACTTCAGAAATAAAACACAAAGAGAAGCACAGCAACGAAATGCTTCGTCACGGACGCCATCATGAAGCCGGCAACATTCACCGCACCTGCGCAGTGGGAGAGCGATGTCTCCGCCGCAGCACTGTGTGCGATAAGAAGACGTGGCGCTCTCCTTGTAGGAATGTGCTACGTGTAGAAATGCTTTCGTATTCCTAGATGTAAGCAGTCTTAAATTTTTATTTAAATACCTGACAGGTCCTCTTGTAAAGGACATTAAGGGGGAAGGAGGGAAAGAGGTAGAAGAAATACAACAATTTGGGATGTTACAAATAAGAACAAATAATGTATAACACACACAAATTCCAATTTATGATCAGGAGAAATACAACATTTGAAGAAAATTTTGCCAATAAGAACAACTGCACATCAAAGCATACAACACACAAAGACCAGATGCATAAGCAGGAGAAATATATTTTGAGATTTTACCAAAAAGAACAGCTGCACATAAAGTATAACATACAGAAAAACCAAATGCATAATCAGAAGAAATACAACATTTTGAAGAAAATATTGCTAATAAGTGCAACCAATGCACATCAAAGCATAACGCACACACACACATACATAAACAAAAAAAGAAATCGTAATCACATAATTTTTAAATGGTTGGCAACGACAGCACGAAAATGTTCAGGATTGATCTCGGTGACGATGTCATTAGGAAGCGCATTCCACCAGACTACCGTTCTGGGGAAAAAGAAATACAAGTATGATCAAGAGCGGCAGGTGTAGCAATCATTTTCGCAAGAGTGATCTAGACTAGGTGTAACCAATGATATCTGTGTTTGGAGACGTAGGCGGAGATGAGTTGAGTAATAAAAACGAAGGAATCATTATAATGCAATTACATGCAAAGGTGCAAGCGAGCTTGACAAGAATGACGAAAATAACTTCTGGAGAAGGGGAACAGGAGGGAAAAAGGACAGGCACAAATCTCCAAACACAGCTAGGTGACTGGTGCACGAGCAAAAAAATCCGCCTGGTCCAGGTATCGAAACCCGGGACCTCTCCCGGGTTCGATACCCGGACCAGGCGGATTTTTTCTATAGTCGGTTACAAGTCAAGAAGGTAGGAGAAGCTCCTCCCACAAGTGTGATGCGCCCGTTTCAAATCTCTCCGCAGTCGAAAGAAGAGTTCCCTGGAAACGCTCCTTGTTCCGCTTCAATGGATTCCAACTTGCCTCCGATCCCAATTTTTAAGAAAGCGACCTTTGTATTCATCGGAGAGGCAACCGAGCCCCTGAAAGCAGCCTTTGTATCCATCGGGGGGGGAAGCTAATCCCCGAAAGTCGTATTGGTTTCCGTCGGTGGGGGAGAACTCTAATCTCCCTCTCGTGCCTTCCACAATGCTAAGTCAAAGTAGAAAAATAAAGCAAATATGTACAGAAAGGCAAGAGCCTCCTCGCGCGTTGGCCGCGACGTCAAGGAAACGGTGGGACGCTATTGGATGCGGAGGTGGCGGAGGGATATATGGTTCCCTTTGAGGGGCATTTGCCGCTACCTTCTTAACCTGTAACTGACTATAAAAGAAAAGGCAGTCTGAGTTGGGACATTAAGCAATGCAAGCGTGAAGTTTTGCATTGCTTAATGTCACAAGTCAGACTGCATTTTTTGGTCTAAACATATGTTTCGGCATCGTCATTCGCTGCGCTGCCTCCGTAAGTGGCAATGATTGCCTCTCTGTGTGTTGTGCGGAAAAGTAGACGCACGGGCTTTTTTTAGAGTGTGGCCAAGGTTCCTCTCTGCAGCATTTGAAACTAGCTATAGGCCCGATTCTAGTGTTAGTTGCACAAAGTTGCACAACATTTCATTTGCCTCATACCAATATAGGTTTTCTAAGCTAAAACCAGTTAAAGCCCTGAATTGAATTCAGGGTTTTAGCTGAATTGACTTCATTCCTTGGAGTCAAGTAAAGGTGTGGAAGAATATTTTTATCATCAGTGCAGTTCCCTAAATATCTTCACTGTCCGTTTCACATTTCCCTTGTCAGATAGTCTGCAGTAAAGTAAGCGAGACCGAACCTTCAATGTCATAATAGCAACTCGTTTATTTCCAAGTCGCGCCGATAACGCCCCCAAGCCAATACGGACATACACCTGGTGTTGCCGCTTGGTCCTTCATCACGGTGATGGCTAAGCTTCATCGTCACTTCCCAACATAGTTCTTATATTGTCACAGACAGCTAAAAGGGCCATCCCAGCTGAAAATTCCCATTAAATCCAATTGGAATTCCAACTGGTTTTAACTGGAACCAATTGGTTTTAGTGGGTTCCAGCTGGAACCACACTGGCCAATGGGTCTCACCAACTGGAATTATTTGAACCTGAATGGGTTCCCAATGGTTCCCATTGGTTCCCGTTGGTTCCCATTGGCAGTGACCAATTGGTTGTCCAAAAACCCAATTGGTACCAATAAGTCACCAATTGGTAGCAATAAGAAAATTCCAATTGGAACTTAATGGGAATTTTCAACTGGGATGGTTCATTTATACATATTAAGAAAACTGCAATTCTCTTTAGTATCGACTAAAAAGACCGCACGCCAACTATTTCGACCTAATTCCACTTAAGAGTTTATGAACCTGAAAACAAAGTTTGAGGTGCGTGAAATTACCAAGATCTGCTAATCCTAGCTGGCAAGGCACGGCAAAGCCAACAACACAGTCAGTATCACCGTGTTGGTGCAGCCCACCCTGCACTACCTATGTCATGCTTAGGGCTCTCAGAGAGATTTGTTTGCTTGTTTTTTTAAGCATAGCCTACAGGCGGTGCTAGCAGCGCGCTCATCATTGACTACATAATTTGTGGAATGCGCATCTGCCTGTGTGCTCCTGTGCGAGCATGCGTCATCGCCGGAAGCATCCGTCGTGTGCGAGAAAGCTAGTTTGTGACGATGAGCATGGCATGCTTTTACAAACCCGTCGCGACATAGGTATACTCACATGTAGTTTACCGAACTTCATTTTCTGTACTAATGTTTTCGAAACAAGCCCTTGGGGAAAACTTGCCTTTTTCTGCGCTAAAACACAAGCTGCGGCCGCGGTAGTACAAGCGTCGTCGGGGGTGGCAGACTGCCGACCGTAGCAGACGACACTTTCTCTCTTGCGCCGAGCTGTGCCCAGCCGCCTGGTACATGACATCACAATTAATACCACGTAGTTAGAAATGTAGGTAACGACACAGGAGCAATGCTGCCTGCCGCAGGTAATTGGGTTTCCATTTCGGTTTGTAATGAGCTTTAAATGAAGATTGCACGAAAAACATGACAATTTTTTTGGAAAGAAACAGCATTGAACCGTTTATTACTACCTCGGGATATATAATGAACCATTAACTCAAATTTCTTGGCATTAACCGGAGGTTAAGGTACGCAGGGCATGGTGAGTCCCAAGGAGTCAATGAGTTTACTGCATTAGCCAGTAAGAATGCTGAGGAATGAATCACAAAGCAAATAGCTTTAACATCATAAATCGTGCTGTGTGTTTCTTCAGCTGTCTGTTGCTATAAGGCCATGTTTTGCTCCCTGCAGGTATCGGTATGCCGCACTGCCAAGCAAATTTACTCACTTGGAGGAACGACACCTGCAGCCCAGGACCTCTTTGAGGTTCTTTCAAGGCTCGCAGCTCTTGACAGGCCACAAGCTGCGGTTGCAGCAGGTGCTCAACGCCTGGTACGGTAGCCCCAAGCAAGTTTGGAGATTACTGTACCGGGCATCGAATCACGGCTACTCTGCCGAGTCTTTCCACCACATGTGCGATGGCCATAGCCCGACCTTTGTTATTGTTTTGGTAAGTTTATCTATGCCATCATAGGACATGCTTCTCAGCTACCAATTTTTGGTTACACATAAGGTTCCGTGTTTTTGGATAAATCCAGAAAACTCAGAAAAACGCTTGCCGGTAAAATTTTCACCAATTAGGTTTTGTCCGATAAACTTAAATTTTAATGTCCCAGCGCAAAAAAAAAAAAAAAAAAAAAAAAGAAAAGGAAAAACAGGAAGGTAATTTATGATTAAGTTTCGTCAGGGTAGGGGGTCCTGAGGAAATGCCACCCCAGTTTCTTTTCAAATCTCAGATCGTTGACAAAAAAATCTACCGTTTATATCGTCAAGCTAGGCTCATTCGGGACAACAGGTTATTGTACTTCTGGGTCACGACAAAAGGCATTGTTCTGGTTTCTAGTTTGGACCATACTATTTGTCTGTGTTGAGAAGTACTTTAAGTACTTCATACTTAAAGTACTACTTATAGTAGGTTTAAAAAACTAGTACTTTACTCGAAGTACATTTATATACTTGCACTTAAAGTATTTTTTCTGGTACTTCCTGAGGAAAGCACAACCCCGACTTCAAAGTACATTATCTAAATTTGGTCTTGTTAACACAAAATTATGCTTTGTCAACAAATATGTGCCTTATAAGTTGATTGTGTTATATAATTCATTGGCGAGAGTAAAGGCCCGTTCACACTTTTGCAACCGAGTACGACCGAGAGAGACGAGATCTCTTAAAATTTCTTAGGACGAGAGAACACACTGGCACGCTGGCGCCATCTATGCGGTGACCCTGGAACTGCATTTCAAAAGAGCGAAGGTTTTGCGGGATTTCCGAGGTCAAATGTGCGTAATACTTATAAGAAAGGCTCGTTTATAACGTTGACAAAGGTTTTTCGAGTCAAGAAAACAGGATAATGCGCGAGCGAAATAGAAAATATGCCAGACCGCCAAGTTTACACTGCTACCCAATAGATGGCGCCAGTGTGTTTTCTCGTTGTAAGAGGTTTTAAGGAACTTAGTTCTAAGATGTCGCAAGGGTGTGAACGGGCCTTAAAACAACTGCTCTGCGACTGCTTGACTTTATCCAGTATTCTCCGCCATTTCCGAAAATGACTGATGCACATACTTCAATTACCTCTAAAACAATGCATACCAGTTTAAAAAAAAATTATAGGGGAACGAAAGGGCATCATGAAAGATTGTGTTAAAGAGCACTTGTACTTTACTTTGAAAATACATTGTATTCATAGTACTTCACTTCAGGTACATTGTGCCCAGTGTACTTACTCCTTTACTTGAAGTACAGTCACGCAGAAACTAAATAGCTCCAAGCGAGTGAGCGTTTGTTTTCTGAGGAGCACTATCCTGGCGGTTTTCCTTCGTACTAGGGCTGACGTCAGGACTCGTCCATGTGAAGCAGACGGGGCAGCCCACCGACGTAAAGAAACTGCGGTTATCGTCCACGTCTTCTCAGCGTGGTTTGATTGAAGGGGGGAGAATGCCCACTTGTTTAGAGCTATTTAGTTCCTGCGTGACTCTACATAACCTCTCATTTACTTGCTACTATATACTTAAAGTCCCTTTAGATGTAGTTTCCAACACTGCTATTTGTGCTTATTAGAGGAAGGGGGGGGTTATGTTTTTATAACAGTGAAAGCTTTGAACCATAGATATTTCATAGAACGGGGAAAGGAGGGGGGGGGGGGGGGAGGGGGGGCAGTCGAAGTAGGTATTTATATTGCACCCATTATCACTTCATCCCGCGCAGCTGCGGGGTCGGTAATGGAATAAAAGAATAAAATGGATGAAAACAAGCTTCCCAGTGACTACCTCTAGGAGATTATTGATATTAAGGTATTGACATTTATCGAACCAACACTTTTTTGCAAGTTTTGTCGTGGGACAATGTAGTATGTATGGCCCATGGCAAGGGCACCAATGCTAAGTCTAGCTGAAGAAATATTATTTGATACAAGTGTTTTCTTTTGAATCTAGCCCACTCTTACACCCAGATGTTATCAATTTTTATTTTTATTTTTGAATAGTAGGAAACACTGCAAAATGAAACTCTGAATTTCGGATAATTGGGAATAGAACAAAATGAACTCTGAAAAACACCCTCTGAATTTGACGAAAAATAAACTCCGAAAGCATGGAACCCATAGTTATACCGAATATGTTGCACAACGACAGAGAATAATTATTAAAAAGAGGGAACTTGAAATAAAGAAGCAATTCCTTCGGGATAAAGGTATCAACTGTGGTGGACGTCAGGTTATGGGGGTAAAGTTGTTATTAGCAAATTAATTACCTACCGTAAAATCCCGAGAGATAACCCACCTAACATCAAGAGCAAATCAGGTGAAAATATGGAGTGGCCTAACTTTCGGTGTACAGTGAAGAAAATTTTAAAACATTACTATTTTTAGGTCATGTTTCTTTCAAGCTTGTTATGGTGGCGAGGGGAACGAAGCAAAGATAACTGTACTTCCCAGCTAGCAATGTTCGCTTATACTATTCCACCATAGCTAACTAGCCGCATTTATGCCGAGGTCATCATTGACCCCAATACTACTATTATTAGGAGTCTAGGGGTATCTTTCGGTGTTTAAAAAAAAAATAGCAAATCAAGCCAAAAATAGGGGTGGGCTATGTTTCGGGGGTGGGCTATGTTTCGGGGGTGGGCCATCTCTCAGAATTTTATGGTAAAATTTACTAATTTTGAAATATTTAACTTAGCTAGCATATTCCAATTGGCGATTTTTTGCCCGTCATCAAAATACGCCCTAACTTTTCTTATAATTTATACACTAAATTCTGCTCTGTGCTATTCTCCGGCAAATTTAAACTGTGAGCCGAGACGACACAAAAGAGTGATGGGAGTCCCACCCGGAAGGGGGGGGGGGGTGTTGTCAGCTTCAGGAGTGGTTGTAGGTAGCGAATCATTGTGAGCCAATCTGACAGCATTGTGCACAGCTTTTGGTGCTTTTAACACAGAATGGGGCCAGACGTTATGTAAAAAGTGTTATGCTTGAGCATATCAAAAAGCAGTTACACTTAGGCTAAGGCAACGTAAACCATACATAGCCCATAGCAGGCAATGCATGAGCATACAAAGCGGGCATATTTAATCATGCTTAATCCTACTTATATATACATAAATCATTGTAATTAGCTAGATCTACCAGGTGGCACAGCAGGAATCGAACCACAGACTGTGCAATCAGTGGCCGGGCACCTTTGCTCGGCGCCACGAGGAGGAGGAAGCTCAAGCAGTTGGACTGAGCATGACTCACAGGAGCCTGTGGTAGCAGGCATCTATCGGCACACGCAGCTGTGCCTCCCAAACGATGAAGTGTAGCTCTCCACGTGACTTCATGACGTCACGAGTCCTGAAGTAATGTAAACTTGACCGAATCATTCTGATAAACCCAGGAAGCGCATAAACCCAGGAAGCGCAACGCATCCAAAATTATCCGAATCTCCCCATAACCAAGCCTAGCAAATCATGAGGCATGCGTAACGCATGTACGATACATTCTGTAAAATTATCAATATAAGTTAAAGTTTTTTTATTAGTTTCACTATATATATGCTGGATCTTATACTTGTTGTCCCACCAAGAAAAAATGACTGCATCTCCACGTGGTGGATGATGTTGATTGGGGCGAAGTTCTGGTGGGGCTGATGATACTGATTTTGTTCATAGGTAGTGCTGATGGTGCTAACTTTTTTTTTTATTGCTCATAGGTAGTGCTGAGTTCCGGGTTGCGTTTCAACTTCATTATTGCTGCTTTATGGTCGGTGACATGCAGAGCCAGTGGTTCTTCTAGTGGATCAGCTTGGATCCGATAGAAGCCGTAGGAATGCATCTCCACCGCTTAAGTCAACGGTCCATGTCAGAAAGAGAATGTGTGGTATGGAACGTGGTTATATACGCATTTGAGTATTTGACTGCAGTGCCCTCTCGTCTATAAATGTTGAGCCAATGCATGCAAAGTCTAACGCGATTATATACGCATTTGACCACAGCGCTCTCTCCTGTATAGACGTTGAGTGGCTACATGCAACGTTTCATCCATGACATCCCCAGCTCTTGAGTTACCACCACATCTCGGAGCCCCCTGCTCGTCCCGCTGTCGTGGCCGAGTAAGGCGATGGACTAGAAATCCATTGGGGTCTCCCCGCACAGGTTCGAATCCTGTCGACTGCGCAAACATTTTTTCTTTTTTTAAGAAGACAGATGGGATGGCAATCGATGTGAGCACGGACGCCGGACGGACAAGACTAGACCCTAAGGAGCTTCGCCCCTAAAAAGAAAGTTGTGCATTATTCATGCACTGCACAAAGTAGATCTTACAAGATTTGGTTGTTGAAGGAATTACGATGCTTTTGGCGTTCAAAACGTGTATGTCTTGATAAAATAACATAAAGGTAATCTAAAATTCACATACATATATTTTAATTAAACACATGAAAGGGAAAATTAGTAACAATCCGTGAGAAGTCGACTTTTTTTACTAGGGATCTGAAGGTGAATACAAGACAACCTAACTTTGCCATTGAATAAATAGCATTAAAGGGGTGGTGCAACACTTTTACGAACTTTTGCTAATTAACTGCAGGAATTAATCTGTATCACCTATAAAACAAAGAAATAAAAACCGTATTTTCTTGCGAGCGCTACTTTTTTTTTTAAAATGAAAGAAATCAAAGATCAAAGTGCATCTCAACTTGCGCGTCGTCTTTCGGGTGACATACTCTGGGGACCTCCTGGGGGAGCTATGTTCGACAAATGGTTTGTTTCTCGTAAAAAGAGACGGAAGTGACGATACCGCGTCTGATTGGCTAGAGGCTCAAATGACGAAAGAGGGAACTTTTGTCATCTGAGCCTCTAACCAACCAGATGTGATATTGTCACTTCCGTCACTTCCATTTCTTCTTAGGAGAAACGAAACATTTGTCAAACATAGCCCCCCTAGTTTTCGGTTGGTTTCTCTTTTCGGAGACCCCAGCAGCTTCCTTCATGATTGTCAACTATTAAAGGATTAGCATCGTCGAAGGTCGCGGTGAGCGATCGACACAAAAGACGGTTCGCCACGGGGCTGACGATGAGTGTAGAAGTGGAGGGGGACAGGTTTTGTTGTGTCCCTCAGAGACGCTATCATCATAGTTCCCGTAACCACCACACATGGCTGCCGATTGGCAAATAATTTGTTTTTTCCCATGCAATTATGTAGCGGAATAGCAGTTTTTCAGGGCAAGGTGACACATTTTTTGTCCCTTGTGTCTAGATAAACAATATAAAAAATACAAACTGCAGACTCTTTTAATCTTAAAAACGTTGCACAACCCCTTCAAGAATTTTGTTTTTTTTACTTCCAACAGCTACTATAGCAGATTTAGACAAAGCGTGCCCAAATTTCTACTTGGTATGTGCCATAAATGGCAAATGTTTAAAAATTTAATTAGTGGATTATAGGACGCTGCTAATTATCACTTTTTACGAATTGTCACTTTATATCTCTTTGTCTCTTAATTCTAATTACCACATTATCACAATCTGGACATCGCAAATTATTACTTTTCATTTGTACACTGACGTCTGCAATGGACGAAAATATTATCCCGAAGAATAGTTCAAGGCTCCTAGCTTTTTCAAAAAATTACCAGTCATGGTAATTTTTTGAAATGACTGGTATTTTAACACAGATTGTGTTTATGGCCTGCATTTCATGTGAAAATGTCAGATTCGAGTATGTGATGAACAATTGTTCTATACAAGCCAAGGCAACATAAAGCATACATATCTCATAGTTGGCCATGTGCACAAGCATCCAAGAATTAATCATGCATGCTCATAATTTGGTATAATTAATTGTAATGAGCAAGAATTATCAAGTGAATCAGTGAGAATTGAGCCCCAGACCGTGCTATCTGCAGCCCGACGCCTCTGCTCGGTACCACGAGAGGATGTGAAAGAGATCCACAACAGGCGACCATCAACGCGCGCAAATGAGTCCTGAATGACGAAGCTTTGCTCCCCACGTGATCCCACAATGTCATGTGGCAGATCATAATTATAGATATTCATGTTTTCGGTAAATACCAATAAACCCTGATAAATATAACCCCCTATTGTGGTTTTCTCAGAATCGGGAAAAACTGAAAAACCCAGAATTCGAGCTGCCCCTGAATGGGGAAATCCCCAGTCTTGAGGAAAGAAATTTTTTTCTGCAGCATTTTTTTTTGTGATCCTGAACATATCCCATACTAACTGTCCTTGATGTTGCTTGCTTCTTTCTTTGGGAACCATGTCCCTTCCCCCGTCTCCTTCTGTTCTCGGTACCGGGATGACGTTCCACGGATTCTGGAAGAAAAGAGGAGACTGGGGGTCGGGGAGGATTTAGGGTTCACAAATTTTTAGATATGCAGTCGTTTAATAACATTAGTCCCGATAAACCCCAATTTTTCGCCCGGCACTGAAAATAAACACCTAAAAACACAAGATTCTGAAAAAAATAATAAGGCCCGAATCTGAAGAAAAATAAACTCTGAAAACACGGGCCCCTAGTGATGCACCAACGGATAGCGCAGTGGATGTATGACATTGCCACTTGGCACTTAAGCCAATAGATTAGCGGGTGTGATACACCCGCTTCCCAAGCGTTTATTTCGGTTACCACAATGAGCTCCTTGCAATGCAAGAGCACCTCGAGGCGCATGCACTCTCGGAAAAAGCTGAACCCAAATACCGTATTTTCTTGGCTATAGTCTGCACCCGGTGTATAATTCGCAAGGGCCATTTCAGGCAAAAAAGAATGTTTTTGTTTAGATAGTTCATATCCGGTTCATAGTCTGCACGCCGTGCATAGCCCGTACCTGGTGCTTAGTCGACACAAAAATCTTCTCATACCCGGCACATCTTGACAAATGTCTGCTTTCTTAGCTCACATAGAAGCTTGTATTATACATAAATCATCATTAACATACTCTTACATTCACAAAGTCCGTCACGTCTCGTCATAATGAACGACCTTGAAAAACAAAATTTTTGTATAGCCCACACGCTTCGACAGTTTGTACAGCCAAAAATTTCAACTTTTAAACATGTATAATTTGCGGACTATAGCCTGGAAAGTGCAGTACTCACTAGGAGAATAAATTTTACTTCGGTCATTTGCATTAGAGAGCAGCCTTCAGCGCCAAACCCCTTTTTGGGCAGTTTGGAAACCCCCCTTATGAGAGAATGCATGTGCATTGCGCTGTCACCGCTTTCGCGCTGCGCCGAAGGACTGGGTGCCGCCGATGCACAGAGATGCCAGATTCGCCAAGGCAACAGAAAAAGCTATTTGCTGTCTCAACGGGTTTACACGACAGTAGATGGTGGAGGCCATCGCTCCCAATTCGAAGGGGAAAACTCTGAGGCTGTACGTGTCCAGTCGTTTCAACTACGCTAAAGCTGTTGGCACCATGCCATTGGATTTTCGCGGAGTAAAATATATTTCCCAGTAAAGTATTTGCAGAACACATGGAAACTTGTTATTAAAGCATACTCCTCACACACTCCACTCCTGAATAAATTTAAACTTGTTTCGTTATTCCGATCAACCTGGTGAGCGCATGTGTGTGTCATGTACGCAGTGCATCCAAGCCACCCAAAGCTCCTCCTAACTAAGCCTAACCAACCACAGTGCACGCGGAATGCAAGCACGACCCATTCTGTGCTCCCCGGGTTAATCACAATGATTGAGACAAGAGGTCTTCAAGTTGCCCCATTTTGAAGAACAGTATTTGAGGTTGAAGCTTCACCCAACTCCCAATGTCTCATTAATTCCTTTCTTCTTATTATATTTGCACATTTGCGGTTTTAATGCGAAAGCATTAACTGTCCCATGGAGTGAACCAACGTCATCAGCTTTGAAACCGTGCCAAACGCCCCCTTCCCTTGTCTCAATATCGTCTTTAGCAGAAATTTGATAAATAAGCTCCCATTGGCTGGCGCGCATCATCAAGGAACAAGGCTCTCATAGGCTCTCGTGCGGCGGTGCGAGCCTGGTAAGAGGTGCGGCGGTGCGGGCCTGGCTGAACAGCTCGCTCGGGCAAACTCCACAGAGGCCGCACGGCTGAGCTAAGCGCGGCACAGCTACTTCACGAAAGCACGCACTCGGCCGTCAGCCGGCGAAACGTGGCCGTCCACACCACTACGCTGCAGACAAACTAAGGCAGCGGAAGAACGGCATTCATGCTTCCGCATTCACAACTCATAAAAAGTGCTTAGGTGTCCTCGTTTTTTTTTTTTTTTTTTCTTTTCCATTTGTAAGGTGCTTCATCTGCAGTTGGTTGCAGAATTGCTAGCAGTTAAAAGTTTTGTGATATTCCTAACTTGATGTAGTGCCTCTGTTGTGTTCCAGGGCTCGCCAGGGCAGTTATGTGGTGGTTTCAGCGACGTTCCCTGGGGAAAGACGGGTGGCCGCGGCCGCTACATTCCCTCAGAAAAAGCATTTTTGTTCACACTGATCAATAATGCCGACATGCCACCCACAAAGTTTGACATCGTGAAAAAGATGTTTGCCATCTCGCACCACCCTGAGTAAGTTTCCCTGTTATCTTGGGATTTGGTAAGCTATTTCTGTCTCGTGTCTTCCAAAGTAACAGAAACTAAAAGCGAAACTGCTAAATCATTAAATGAAAAAAAAAAATGCAAATGGTGCAATTACTTTTATGCATGATACTATAAATAGTATTGTACAGTAAACTTTCGTTAGTTCGACCTCGGTTAATTCAACTTTTCGTTTAATTCGATCGTGCTCAAAAGTCCCGGCGAGCGCCCATACATTTCTATGGGAGGAAAAGTTTGATAGCCCGAACTCGGGAAGACTCCGCATCGAATAATTCGTCCCGAGCGAATGCGCGCGGGCTCACAGTGCACAGCACCACGACAGAAAAACCACCAACGTATGGCAAAACACGGACACTTTGCTGCAAAGCCGAATGTGCACAAATATGCGCCTGCTCCTCTACGCCATTGAGATAAATCGTAGCGAATGGCGCAAGCCAGCGCAACCAATCTGGCGTGGAGTAGCGCGGAGAACATAAAATGTAATCGGGTGCGGAGACAGCGGACGCAGGCGTTTTCGAAGCACTTTTTGTAGCATCGTGTGCGGTCCATCTTGTGCGCCAAAAAGCACAAGTTCTCTTTTTCCTTTTTTTTTTTTGTTGTTGTTGTTGTTCCTAATTTTTTCTGTTGCCAACGGCCTGGCCGTCCGGTGCCAAAGTCGGCTCGTAAAGCATTCTCAGCGCGTGCTCTCGAAGCGCTTCTGTAGCATCGTGTGCACTCCATCTTGCGCATCAGAAAGTAAGGGTTCTCTTTTAATTTTTTTTTTGTTGTTGTTATTTTTCTTTGTCGCCGACATTCTGCCCGCCAGGCGCTAGAATCAATGCGTAGAACCTTTTTTTTTTTTTGAATGTGGAATTTTCTGGAGACGGGACGTTTAGTTACGCTGCTCTCCAGAGCATGCTTTTGAACACGCGTTTTAAGCGCAGATGGCAACAGACCGTCCGTGAGTACTTTGGACAATAAAAGGAAGTTTAGTTTTAAGCGTTTTTTCGTCCCTTTTTAATTCAATCATTCGGATAATTCGACCGAATTTCAAGGTCCCGTCGAGGTCGAATTAACGAAAGTTTACTGTACTAATAAATGTGGACATGGGCAAAATAAACTTCAAATGGGAATTAGAATTAGGACATTTAATAGTTTTTTTTTTTTTTTTGCAATTGGTTGAATGCTTGATGTGATCCCCCTTCCCAGGAAACTGTTCAGCTGAGTAGTAGAGATTTTTTTGTTTTTTACATTTATTTTCACACATTTAACAAATTTGTTTAGAAATTTTCTTCACTCCTGGTCAAACCTGGAAGCGGGAAACGACTGAAATAATCCGTTTTCAGGGCAACTCTTTATCTTTGGAGACTTATATATAATATCTACAAATGTAGGGCAATTTTTTTTAATGCGAAAGCATTAACTGGTCTTAAAGAGCAAAGCTGGTGGCATCTGTAGCCGTTGTCTGTAGCAGCGAAAAACGGCTCCTAAATGCCCATTTGCAGTTTGAAACGGCATTTAAAGTACCATTGGCTACAACGCATCATCTCAGACGCTTCGTCACGGAAGCCGGCAAGGCTGCTCGAGGTCAAAGCGGACGCGCCTCAGAAATAAAACACAAAAGAAAAGCACAGCAACCCAGAGGCATCGTCACAAAAACTGTAGAGTTGGCGGGCGCGCCACGCCTGCGCGGGGGGGGAGGGGGGGGGCGTGATGTTACCACTGGGGCGCGGTGTGAAAAAGACATGGTGCCCTGCTTGTAGGAATGCGCTGCGTGTCGGCGAAATCCAGCATTGTTGTCAAGTCTCGTAATACACGACGGCAGTCTGTGCGGTACACCGCTGCACTCCCTGTTGGTGCTGCAGCCGCTTCTGCTCCTCTCGGCGCCAAGAATGCTTTTGCATTCGCAACTCATAAGAAGTGCTTAGGTGTCCTCGGATTTTTTTTATTAGAATGGTTCGCCGCAGTGCACAGCCCTCATTAGTGTCGTGGGTGCCATTTTCTTGCAGCGTGTCGGCATGCAAGAGGAAAAGCATTACTTTCGAATGGGCTCGCACACTCACACTCTAAAACAGTCGTGTCTTAGAGCTATACTTCACATAAGCCTAGGGGTTTCACCGTGGTGTCTAAACAATACAGCGGAGCACGGCTCATGGATTTGACACATGCGCTGTGTCATCGCTTGGCTAGGCTTGTGTGTTGCTTATTTCTTAGGTCCTTGGATTCAGACTTTGAAAAATTTTCGTCACAGTATGTAGTAATGTTAAAATATCTTACCATGTCGAGAGACAGCACCACTGTACTGGCATGCCCAAGTGGATGCATGACGTCATGGAAGAAATTAATAAAAGAGCAGCAACGCCCTCTCTTTTATATAGCACACTCCTAAAATAATACATGGCCATGAGGAGCATTTATTATTGAGAAAAGTCTCCTGCCGATTTTCCATAGTTAGGATCGCATCTTTTGAGATAAAACTTAAAAATATAGAACACTCGGTGGTTTTCATAAAGTTTTTGTCTATTTGGATTTATTTGAAACACTCAGATATTTTAATCATGTTGACAAAGAAATATCGTATACTATCGTCAATCCGCCCTTTCCACACTAAGTGCCCACCCCTAAAATTTGAAACATCTGAAAAGTTATGCACAGTATATATATATATATATATATATATACTGTGCATAATTTCAGTTCCAATAATTATTGGAACTGAAACTTGGTTGACGTCAAGCATGGACAACACAATGTTAACACTGAACAAATCATACAACCTATACCGTAAAAACCGCCCAAAATGCAAGGGGCGGTCGTGTACTCAGTGCAGTTGGAGCTAATTTAAAATGTATGTTAATAACTTATGACGCGTTTCTTGAAACGTTGTGGATACGTCTGCAGCTGGGTTTTCATAAAGTTTTAATCGGCGCATGTTATCGTCCGCCGAACACAAACCCCAGCGAATTTCATGATGCCATGTATAGTTAGTTGTCTGGGGCATTTAACGGAAGCTTACCCAAACGATGACATAACATTAACAGGCGACTTCAATTTTCCTGGTGTAGACTGGGCGACGCTTAGTCCCTCATTTTAATGTGCAAATCCAAGTCACTGCAGTGATTTCCTTGCCTTGGCTAACTGTTTCGGGCTGCACCAACTAGTAACCACCCCTACCCGAGGCAATGCGGTCTTAGGCCTATTTTTTGTTGACAACCCTGACCAAGTAAGCACAATAAATGTCCTAGATTTCATCAGTGACCATGCGATTCTTCACGTTGAAACTACCTTTACCTCCGAAAACCGAGCAAACAATCGCAAGACAATATTTAACTATGCTCGGGCAAATATGGAAGTTATGAATATCTCGATAAACACATTTTTAGAAGAATTTTTGGCTCATTATCATGATCGCTTGAAGAAAATTGGACCCTATTCAAACACGAAATTTGGAATTTGGTGTCAACCAACATTCCTAAAATCAATATCGCATCCAACCATCTCTCACCCTGGTTCACAAATTCCCTCAAACATATGTTGAACAAAGAGAAGAAGTTGTTTCAAAAAGCAAAAAGAACTAACAGAGATAATGATTGGCCCACACATAGTCTTTGGTCAAAAAATATAAAAAAGGAAATTATAAAAGCAAAAAAAGTTTTTCGGAGTCAAACTGACACATATGTTAAGAAACGATCCTCGTAAGTTCTGGAAAATATTAAATCCTAGTGAAACTCGAAGTAATTTGTTGTTCACAGACCAAGAGGGTGACTGCCTGTCCGATAGCGATGCGGATCATATGCTGAATAGCTTTTCCTCAACGGTATTCACTCAAAAATCATTCCCGCTTTCTTCGCCACCGGAGTTTCAGTTAGCACCCATGTCTCCCATTTTATTCACAAGTAACGGTATTGCTAAACTTATTGATAAACTACCGTCTCACTGCGCCGCCGGCGATGCTGCCATATCTTCAAAGATACTAAAAATGTTAAACCACTCGGCCTCTGTTATTTTACCTCTGCTATTTCAGCAAAGTCTCGATACTGGCACTGTTCCAACTGACTGGGGTTTCGCTATTGTCAAACCAATCTTCAAATCCGGCATAAAGTCTAACCCTTCTAATTATCGGTCTATCCCACTAGCGTTTCGTGCAAGATCATGGAACGTGTCATTTTTACAGCTATATTATGTCCCACCTCGACGGCAATGACTTCCTTTTTTCGAATCAGCACGGCTTTAAACAAAACCACTCATGCAATACTCAACTATTTGAGTTCATCACAGATTTGCACTTTAAAGACCGACCAACGAAACCATTTTCCGCAAGGTAGGAAAATGCCCCTCGCGCCCACCTCTTTTCACCCTCTCCCAAAAATCATGTGACGGCAGGGGCTCGTTTTGTGTCGGCTTTTTCTGTAGGGATAATCCTCAAAAACCGCGAAATGAGCGGCTAGCTGCGAGCGCCACAAAGATCTTGAGACGTCCAGGTGTCTTCCCTCGTTGACGCGGGCACGCTCAATCCGCGAGATTGAGGAAGCCAGCGCGACCGAACGCTTTTTCCCATGAGCTGCAGGTCCGAGGCCGCTCGGTCGGTAAAGATCGAGGGGTCTTGGTATGCTGGGTTCGTTCCAGCAGCCGCTCTCTGGCATCGCGCGGCTGCTGGAACCATTCCCGTCTCTGCACAAGGATTGGCTTGAGCAATAAAGGGTTCAGGTCGTCGATAATACATTTATTTCCGAAACTTATAAATCAAGTGGCTTTCCCTAATCTCTTCATTACTGTTCGAAACACATCTCCTCTCATAGGTTGTTCATCCCATTTTGGACTCTTTTACGTATTTATTCGTCTTTACCTCTGCTTGATGACTGTTTTATAACTTGATAAAGACCTTTAAATATTGGCGCGGGCTTGCGCGATCAACGCTGTCCCGGATTTATTCAAAATCGGAAAGATTGGCGTCAGGAGGGGTTGAAGAAGCAAACCGTAATTCTTGCTTC